TTTTTTTTTTTTTTTTTTTTGAGAATACAAAAGAAGAACATGGTTGATGAGTTTAGCAGTGCATGGAAGAAAAAAAAAATTATACATTACGGTAATTAAATAACAAATTATGACAATAATTTTTGGAAAAAGACACTACATCTACCACCACTTCTGTCGTCTCATCATCTAGTCAGCAACCAAAGTTTGCTAGTTTTAATCCAATGTAATCTTTTAATTTTGTTCCATGTATCCCAACAAAAAATATCTCATTTTTCATCAATTTTACAAACCCGATTCAAATAGAGAATGTCATGACGTACAACCCATCATACACTAAATTAAAGTAACTTATGTAAACTATGAGACGCGTGTTATGCACGCGTCACATACAATAAGCTTAAGTTTTTCCAAATACAACGACATATTCTTTCTCATGAATGGTTCGCCCCATACCATATAGCCACTATAAACTAAAACTAGCTAGCGAACCAGTCCTAGCTTCCAATATAACAAACTAAAAAGAAAATCAGCAAACACAGGTCATAAAAAGAAAATCATGTATATGTATAAACTAAAACAGCATTATATATATAGTTCACGAATGTATGTAATTTGTTATTACCGAATCAAGTGGAGATGAGTGGGAACTTGCATCTTTACTCATTCTTTGGCTGGGATATGTATAGAAAACACAGAGCTTCTTCCTTCGAGCTTTGATAGCCAAGAGCCAGTACGGATTATTATGATTGTTAACGGCCCTAGAGGGTATATGGTCAATCACACACATTACACAGATTTAGAGTGGTTCACCCATGAATAGGGCTACGTCCACTATAGAGGTTGATATTTATTATAAATGAGTATCACATTATACATAGAGAGAGGCTTGAGAGCCTTAATACAAGAGGAAGATGGAGAGCTTGGGTGTCTCCGGATATGCGCATGGAGAGGAGAATTGGAGCCCTTGCTGGAGAGGGGTCTCTTCCTTTATATAGGCAGGAGAGGAGGGCCACTTGCCGTTGTTTAATGGGCAAGTGGCAAAGGCATAGGTCAACCTCAATGGAGAATGAGCTGGGCACGTGGGGAAGGTATGGGTCATCCTAAGTGGAGTATGGGCTGAGCACGTGGGGAAGGCATGAGCTGTCAGGAGACAGGGGGTAGTGGCCTGGTGAAATGTCAGGACGCACGTGGTGATCTGTTATCAAAGGTGTGCGTGGTGGTCTGCACATGGCTGAGGCAGTAGGAGTTGGCTAGCACATATTGCTCGGGTATGACATTTCGGCTAGGCCATCTTGGTTTAGGCAATATTGAAACGGGTAGGACATTTCGGGTAAGCCATATTGGCTAGGCAATATTGAAATGGGTAAGACATTTCAGGTAGGCCATATTGGCTAGGCAATATCTGGTAAGCCATTCTTGGTGGGCTATTTCTGGTAGGACAGTTCTGGTAGGACATTTCTAGTACCAACCAGATATGTATAACAACAATGATATATTTTGAATTTTGGATGTGACAGAAATGATAGAGCTGGCTTTTAATTTATAAGGAGGAAATACTACATAGATGGAAAGTGGGGGTCTCCTTTATATAGAAGAGTATCGCGAGCAATAATTTGCATGGAAAGTTATTAGATATGCTTCTAAATGAATTTGGATGTTTTGCATCCATTAGTATTTGGTAAGCATATTAATTGTTTTAAAAAAATTAGTTAATTCTCTTTAGACAAATATCCAATAAAATTAGAGTAACTATCTCTAAACTAAATTGCAATGAGTTCACAGACACAAAATGTTATAAAGTGTTATGTAAGGTTTAGAATTTCCGATGTGGGATTCTATTTCTATATTCTCAACGATACGCATGTTAATATGAAGGAAAAAAAAAAAACTTGTGAATGCAAGTTTAGCCGCCCAAAGCCACTAAATCACCACCCGTCAAGTCAAATTTGGTACTTGTTATTACGGCGAGACCGTCACCCTGGAGAGAAACTCTCATGCAAGAGGGATATGACTTTTTGTCATCCCCTGCTAACAACACAATGACATGTGTAACTTTTTTACATGTCATTGTGTTATTGGTCAGGGATAGCAAAACAATGTTATTCCCGTTACAAGTAAGTTTTTTCAGTCACGCTGGGTGCCAAAAGCATAAGTGTTTTATATGCATTGACCAAATACGAGTTGTAGTTGTACAAACAAATACGTTTTACTAGACAAATTTCTAGTGTTAATTTAATGACGAATACTAGTTATAACAGTTAATAACAATACATAAGTGCATACAAATACAATCATCACAATTATCGGAATCTCTCTCATTTATTCTTAGAGACAAAGTACTCTTATGTATTAAATTTCTCCCCTTAGTTCAGGAAATAAATTTTGAATATGTTTGTGCAATGATTGATCGAGCAACCAACTCAACATGAATAGCCGACATCAACATGACATGGATACATATCACACATTGATAGTCCCTCATCATATTACCAACGAGGAGCTCGTGTTACCACCAAAAGCAATATCAAAAGTCTCATATCGAAATAAAACATAAGAGAAGGATATATCTCACCTATAAAAGAAGAGCTCTTTCTCATGGCCATTACGCTTAAGCAAACCTCTTAAATTGGGTAAACACCACATTAATATAATGACAATTTTCTCTAACCCTATATATGTATAGCTCATTCGAGTGAACCACATATATCTTGTGCGAGTGATCCACTCTTCTTATCTCCCATCCCTATTTATCCATCTCTCATCTTCCTTGTTGGTCCATTTTAGAACATCAACAATACTGTTCCACATTAAAATCCATTATCCAATACAAATCTTTGTATGCTAATAGTCAAATCGGAAAAGTGATTTCCCTAATAGTCAAATTGGAAAAGTGATTTCCAATACCTCGTTATATTCGTGACTATCATGTTGATAATACTATTTTACTAAGATGCATATGTTTAGGATATTTGATTTTGAATGAAAATTTCTTTCTCTAAAAAGCAAAAAGTTGTAACACTTACTGACAGGACCTGACCCAAATTCCAATTTGGAATATGCGCCGAATTCTGTGCGCTTCCGACACCTGGCAGGTGCCTGGCACACTTGACCAAATTGCCCTTCTAACTAAGACTCAACAATTCTTTTAAGGTTTGACTTCTGTCGAAAAATCGGTAGAATCTTCCCTGTAAAACGGACGTTTCCCAAAAACTTTCCACCTGTAACAATACAATTAATATTGAAAACCAACACCCAATCATTCAGCATGCATCAGGCAAATAACTTTGAATGGCCTCAGGCCTCTTTATACCAAATAAATCATTCCGTCATCAGAATATGGTCTCAACTCTTAGAGCAACATAAATACGTTATCAAGTTTTAATATAACTTAACTGAACAAATTTTCAACAATTGATTCTTGTAGCTGCATCTAATAACTCTAGGTTGCCTACATACCCTTACTAAGGGATCAAGCCACACGTAGTTCTTTCTCAAAAATAAATAAAATTGAGAAACCTTCATAAATAATTCAGATCAATCCACTGAAACTCAATCAAGGGCTATTGATGTTAGAACAATCTTCCACTCATCCCACGTGTGCATAAATAAATAAATAAATAAATATACATATATATAATTAACTTATTACTTATAAGTAGGAAAAAAAAAATATTAAAATAGCATTGACCACGTGAAACTTTAATGTCAATATCAATAATTTAAATAAAATATGTTTGCCTCTTTCACATGTAAAAATAAATTCATCACTTAAGTAAATAATTGTGAATTATATAAAATCCTTAAAACTTCGAAAACTCTCAATCCTTGTCTCATAAGTTGGAAAACATATTAAATGACTTTTATAAAAACTTATTAAATGAATGACTTTTCCATACTTTTTAGGCTAATTGTTAATAGCATAAGTCTTGCCAATTTACTAATGACTTTTATAAACTCTATGAAAGTATTTAAGAATTTTGTCAACTCTATGAAAGTTACTCACTTAAAAAAAGTCTTTATAAGTATGGATTGGATGCACCCCCCCTAAAAGTCTAGAGATATTCAATTTAGATTTTTAAAGAGTTTATAAAAGTCCAGTGCTATTCAATTATGACCTTTAAAAAGTAGTTAAAAGTATTTAAAAATTTGGTGATATCCAGTTGTGACTTTTAAAAAGTTTTTAAAAGTTTGGTGGCATTCAAAAAGTTAATGACTTTTAAAAAGCTTATTAAATTAATGAATTTTCCATACATCTCACGCTAATTATTAATAGCAGAAATCTTGACAATTTACTAGTGACTTTTATAAACTCTATAAAAGTATTTAAGAATTTGTTAACACTATGGATTGCATACACCCCTTTATTAAATTATACACAGAAAGATTGAAGAAATTGGGAAGTTTAATTTCTGCCAAAGAGCATGAATTTGTTTTCACTGTAATTTCTATCATTTATAAAATTTGATATACATAAATCCAAGCATTAAAATTATTAATTAACAAAAATTTAATCGATAAATATCTAATTTCAATCATTTAATAATTCTATGCAATTATTTTTTCCTTTTAAAATGATCGAAAGCCCTAAACTCTCAAAAACCCTTGTAAAAACCCAGGCGCGGTAAGAACCAAACGACTAGAAACAGAAATGGGCAAGAAGAAGAAAAGAGCCGAATCAGAAGCCGAAGCAGAGCAAGAGAACAAAATCGACATTGTTAATGGCGATTCTCATAAGAAAGACAAGAAGAAGAAGCACAAATTCGACAAAGCCGCGCTGATACCTACTGTGAGCGTAGCCGTCCCCGGTTCCATCATCCACAACGCTCAATCCCTCGAACTCGCCACCAGAGTATTTTCTCTCTCCGTTTTCTCACCATCCAAACAGATAATTGCTTTATGTTTCTCATTTCACTTCCTCTTCAGTTTTCTAATTATGATTTTTTGTTTATTAAAAAAAATCTCAGTTGGCTGGTCAGATTGCTCGTGCCATGACGATTTTCCGAATCGACGAGGTTTCATACTTACTCTTTCTTCTTCAGCATTAGTGGATTTGTTATATCAATTGATGTTTAAGTACGCAAATTTGATTGATATGTAGTTTATTATTCTGTAAACAGGTGGTGATATTTGACAACAAGAGTGAGTCTGGCTCACCACCAGAAGCTAATTCGGATGAGGATGAAAGTGGTGCTGCTTTTCTTGTACGAATCTTGAGGTACCTTGAGACACCTCAATATTTGAGAAAAGCGCTGTTTCCAAAACATATCAGCTTAAGATTTGTGGTGAGGTTCCCCAGTTGTTCATTTATGCTATGCGGTAAGCACATTGGTAATTGATTATCAAGTTTATTACATCTTGGCTTAAATTACTTTTCAGGGTATGTTGCCTCCACTTGATGCTCCGCACCATCTTCGCAAACATGAATGGGGTCCGTTTCGGGAAGGTAAAGTGTAATGGATGGAATTTAAGACTTGTTCTGCTATTGGAAATACTGAACCTACTGGAATACAAAAATTGTCTGACTATACTTGCTTATACTCAAGTCAAGATGACCATGTTCAAGACATTGAACAAGAACCAAAATGAGATGAGATGGTTCAGTTCAGACTTCCCATTGTAAATGAATTTCATCATTTAGTTTAGTTTCTTTGTTTGTGCTTTCTGTTTCGACCTATGGCCTTATTTTGTGAGAGCTTGCGGTAAATTTATAGGTGTCACACTAAAAGAAAGATCTCCTAACCCTGCGGGAACACTAGTTGATGTGGGTTTGAGTAAGGTACTCTCTCATATTCTAGGTTTACTGTTACAAGAGTTATTGTTTGATAGTTTCTTCTTTGCCTTTTCCTCCCGCCTTAGCCAGTAATTGATTTAGTGATGAAAAATGCAGAATGTCATCGTTGATCAAGTACTTGAACCTGGGACGAGAGTTACTGTGGCTATGGGAGCCAACCGGAATTTGGATGCTGGTAATGATTTTTCGTGAATTCATTTGTGGCCTTTCCTGATTCGTTTCTTTATCGTTAATGGAGGTTTCGGCTTTTTTTTATTTTTTTAATTTATTTATAATTATACTATGATTCCAAATGGGTAAAGGCTTTTTTTCTATTGCATTCATCTAGATATATCACACCAGGTTGTCTCATCTTCCAAGCCTAGGGAAGAAGCAGGAACGTATTGGGGGTACAAAGTGCGCTATGCTTCCAATATTACTTCAGTAAGGAATGAATGCCCATACAAGGTATTCATGCGTTCACTCTATGACCCTTTCTCTCTCACAGCCCCTCTTGCCCTTACCAATACATGGTTTTTTGGTTAACCATTCAGATAGGGCCTTTCTTCATCAATTTCTTTTATTCAATCACAGGGTGGCTATGATCACTCAATTGGTACCTCAGAGCATGGTCAGATTATTAATTCCTCTGATCTCACTATACCTACCTTCAGGTACTCTTCTCTAAACGCGCTAACCATATATAAGATTGTTTTTCTAGATGTTGTGAGTATTGCTTTCTTTGGGTAGCTGGTCCTTAGCCACTTAAGGCAATTGTTGTGCTCCGTATCTTGTAATTGGATAGATGCCTACTGTGTTGCGTATTCATCAACTAGATGGCTTAGTTAGTGGTCAGGCTCTTGATGTACCTGGGATGGAATTTCAGCCTCCTTCAATCTGTTAACCTCTGTTTGGTGACAAATTCTTTTTGCGGAATATGTAGAAATTTGGTGAGATCTGACAGTCAAAATCCATTTAAAATGACTCAGGCCAATTGAACTATCTATATTTTGAGAAGTTATGAACTATGCACCCTGCCTCCCTCTGTTTTTTTTCTTTTCCTTTAAATTATTTGCTACGTGAGGAATAGTAGGTGAGTGCTATGCAGGCACATATCATTAAGCATAATATCGATACCCACCCACCCACCCCTTCTCCCTTCCATTACTTTTCTACAGGTACTTGAATTGTTCCTCAATAATTGTGGTTTCTTTAGTTTTCTTGTTAAGTAGTCGTCCTGGTGTCCTTCTCAGAGATTTGGGCTGAAGGAAACCTTTTCATCTCTATTACAATATTCTATGTCAAAAATTCTGTTAAGCAGAAACTGAAAAGGATAAATAAGAGAATTACTGTCAAGTATTTTTCCCGTTGAATGTTTTGATTTGTATGCTGATTGAATTCAGTTGTGTTTAAAGGATTATGGACCTATATTTTGAATTTTTTGCCAGCGAATTTGTAGCAATATATCAGATTTCCTCTTTTAAGTTTCTAGATATTTTACATCTTTTTACTATTTACTACTTTCAACTGTATTAAGAAATTTTTGGGCATTTGTTGGGTATGAAGCAAATGTGAAACTATATACATCGAGATGCTGTACTCATTACGCCGCTGATATTTTTTAATTAACTGAATGAATGATTTGGCAGGCATCTATTGATTGCTTTTGGTGGACTTGCTGGGTTGGAAGAGAGCATTGAAGAAGATAATAACTTAAAGGTAAGGTTCCTATGGCTTTGGTTTGATACTTTGAATTGCAAATGTCTGTGGTGTAGCCTGGTGTAAGTAGCTAGAAAATAATAACAGGCCTTATAGTTCTGCAGGAAATTTTTTTCAACTTTGAATTGTGAATGGCTGGGTTGGAGTCTGGTGCTACCAGCTAAAACCTTCATCAAGCCTTTCTTTTGTCTTTAGTTTTTCCCGTCTTCCTTCCATTTTCCTCATTACAAACTTCATTGAAATTCTTACAACTTTCCTTTTTCTTTTCTTGACATTCAATTAGTTCTTGATTTTGCTTGGGATGTAATTTGAGTCAATTTACTTTAATTTCTTGATGGGGTTAATGATGGTGATGATAGGAAGAGGGAAGAGGATGAGAGTGAGGAGGAATATAGGAAAGTCTTCAGATTCGAAAGGGCAATTGTGGAAGAAACTTTTAAAAGCCATGCTTATTTGCATTATTAATTTGAGTTTTTAGTATAAAATGTCTTAAAGTAGCTATAAGGTGTAAAAACAAACAGCTCCATATGTCTGGATAACTCAAAAATGTGTTGGGTTTAAACTTATTTACCCAAAAAACATCCCCTTATTGGACTTCTGAACAGCTTTATGATCTTGGAAACACGTTTGCTTGATGAGGCACAACTTCTAGTAGTTTGTTTAACTGAAAGTAAGGATAGAGAAAGGAAATGGTACTGAATACTGTTTTTATTGGATCTTTTTTAAGGCAAAAAATGTGCGAGAGGTATTTGATTTGTATTTGAACACATGTCCACATCAGGGGAGTCGAACAATTCGAACAGAGGTATTTTTAGTATCTCTATGCTTTTCTATTCATGGATGAGAATTTCGTATTGAAACTTGTGTTATGGCTTAATTTGCATCTTCATGAACAGGAAGCCATTTTCATTTCACTTCAGTATTTCCAAGAACCAATCAACAGGGCATTGCTGAGAGTTTAGCATTAAAGCTTACTATTTGGAGGACATTGAGAATTTCCACAAATTGGGGTCAAGATAGGGAATCTGATTCTTGATTTGGCTGCTAACATTTTGAAAGACGGAATTAGTTACTTAGCGGCAGATAGAGTATCCTCTTCTTTTTCGTGTATTTAATTTTTTTCCCAACTAGTTCACAAGCTCAACTTTAAGCTGCTTGTTTCAGTGTACAATAGTCTAGTCTGAGCTGCAATGTTGGGAATGACTTTACAATCCCTTTTTTTTTGGAAGGAAAGTTTGTTCAAATTGATGTTGTAATCCATGTCAATATTGCAGAGCATAGATGGTGAGCTTCTGAGCATGGTCTTATATTGTTTTCTTGTTGTAAACGTGTAAAATACACAATAATTTTCAGAGTTGAAATTGTGGCATGATTGTCTTAAAATTTGTTCAACACTTCATTCATGAACCTAGTCTGAAAAAGAACACAGAACTTTCAGGCAATTATAGAAAAGTTTGTTCGAAAAATGTTGAGGGCACACCATTTGTTCTAAAATCAATATTCATTATGATGTTCTAGTGTGCGCGTCCGTTACTCAAAGAAAAAAATTTGTTTTATGTATATTTTTGAGTGGTTTTAGTTACAATAACGAGTGTATAAACTGAAAAGAAAATGCTCAACTAGTATGTTTTTCATGTCATTATATTCATGCCACGTTAGCTTTTACAAGCCTTGTTTAAGCGAGGATCTAAATTCTTTAGAATTTCAAACAAAAAAGTTATTTTTGATCTTATAGTTTACCACTTTTACCACTAAGGTCCTTTTAATTCCAATTTGATCAATTTTGTCATTGTAATTTGAATTCTAAGCAATTTAAGGACAATCCCCCAATTTTTGTCAAATTATTCTAATATGGATGGGCACTTCGGTCTAATCTTACGACCCCTACCTAGCCACCCAGAGGCACCCATCAGCCCCTTCCCGACCACTTGACAACCATCCTTCCTCCCCCTCCCGACCCAAACTCCTCCTCCTAACTCAACCCGCTTCCCACCTTATAGTCACTCCCCACCTTACAGCCACGACCCAACCCCCCCTCCCCAACCATCTTATCCCTTCCCTTCTCCTCCCCTCTCGACTCAACATTATGCTCCCTCCCTCCACATTCACCTTTTCCTCTCTCTCTCTCTCTCTCTCTCTCTCTCTCTCTCTCTCTCTTATATATATATATATAGAGAGAGAGAGAGCTTCCATTGAGGGATCCCTCAAATAAGTTATTTGAGGGACACCCCTTTTAGGCCCCACTCCGGATTGTATTTCACTAATCTAAACCATCTATTTTGTAGATGCTCATTCAAAGATCATCTGTACAAAAAATCACCTAAATCCGATATCATTTGACTACTCAATTGTGTTATTGAAATTTGAGTACTTTCTTGATGCACCGTTATTCGTTGATTTTGTAGGACACAATTGGATATCGAAACGGTTTCCGATTTGTCTAATTTTTTGTAAGGATGATCTATGAATAAAGACCTAAAAAATAGATGGTTTGGATCATTGAGAAAAAAATTGTAGGGTACCCTAAAGGGCGTCCCTCAAATAAAATTATTTGAGGGATCCCTTAATAGAAGGGGACTGTATATATATAATCAAAACCTCTCTTCATGAACTCAAATTTTCAAAAACAAAATCCAGAGATTAAGACCAAAAGGTCACGCAATTGTTCATTCAAGATTGGATGTAAGGGACTTCAAGACTTAAAAGCATAAGAAAAGCTATAGTAGGAGGGCTGTTGGAGTGGCTATGGGGGTGGTTGGGGAGGAGCTGCAAGATTGGACTAAAATGCCCCTCCATATCAGAGTAATTTGACATAAATTGGAGATGGGTTAATTACTCAAATGGTCCCCAAACTTGTACGCAATTTACATTTTAGGGCCTGAATTAAATTTTTCGTTCAAATGGTCCATCAACTCTATATTAATTACTCAAATGGTCCCACCGTTACATTATGTCAATATTTCCGTTGAATATGAGGGCAAATTGGTCATTATTTACCCTAAAATTTGGTTAAATCTAACAGAAAATTAGACGGTGGGATCATTTGAGTAATTAATATAGAGTTGATGGACCATTTGAACGAAAAATTTAATTCAGGCCCCAAAATGTAAATCACGTACAAGTTTGGGGACCATTTGAGTAATTTACCCAATTGGATATTGTCTTTGAATTGCTTGGAATTCAAACTATAGGGACAAAATTGATCAAATCGAAATACAGGGACCTTAATGGTAAAAGTGGTGAACTACATGGACCAAAAATGACTTTTTATAAATAAAAAAAATCAAAGTTTAAAATAATGAGAATAGTAACCACAATTAACTTAAATATTCGAGACATTTGGTGCTTTCTACAAAATTTCACTCATGTCACTATTCACTATATGTTTCTTGAAGCTAATATGATAGTTGATACATTAGTCAAAAAAGAACATTCCTCCTCAAATACTTGTAAATGGTTCAATAATTTTCTCTTGGATGTTTATCATATATTTACTTTTGGGATCCCGAGCTTTTGCATTTAGATAGTGTGCATTTACTTGCATTTCATTACATTTTAAACCATTCTAATAATCTAATGATCTACAATATGACACGTCAAACTCCTAATACGCCTCTTAACACTGTTAAGTCCAAACAAAATAAAACAATTTAAAAAAAATTTCTCAGTGAAACCCTCCTAAACCACTCATGTCATGGCCGACCCTATAACCCACCCCACCGTCTGCAACCCCCACCTACCCACTGACAACTCCCTCCCTTCTCACCAGCCAACCTCCCCTCCTTTCATTCCCCTACATTCTCTCTTTACCAGGTGGGATAGAGGGATTTCAAGGATGGTTCTTAGGATTCCTAAAAATTCCTATAAAAATTAAAGGTGGAAGGAAGAAAATTTAGGTTTTATAATTGACAAGAGATTATAGGGTTTGATCCTAAATTTTGATTTCCAAGAGATTGATTGTTTATTGATGGGTTTCTATGTGGGTGTTGGGGTTGGCTCACTAGCAAGGATGAAGGGGATGCTGCACAGTTTGTTGCCTCCATCCTTTTCCAATATATGATATGCTTCTCTTCGAAAAAATCAATTGAGCTTGAAGTTGGGCAAAAGAGATAGAGGACACAAGAGGGAAAAGAGAGAAAGACGGGGAGAGAGAGGAGTGGTTGGCTGTTGGTGAAGGACAGGGTTACCGCAGGAGTTGTGAGGTGGGTTGGACCATAGGTGGTTGCTGGGGTTCAGTGGCTGTTTTTATTATTTTATATTATTTGTTTTTAATTTTTAATGTTATTTAGACTTAACGGCTTTTTTAGAGAAGACTTAACGGTGTTAAATTGAGGTTTGATGTGTCACATCTTAAGTCATTAGGTTATTGTAACGATCAAGATTTAGTAAAATGTGGATAAATACACACTACCTAAATGCTGAGGCTCGAAATCCTTACTTTTGATAAGTACGTCTTAAAAAAAAACCACAGGTAAATTATTTGTTTTTGTGTAAACTTTCCATTTTACCACACACATGTTAAGAAACTAGTTTATTATGAAATTAATATGTAAACTTTCTGTTTTACCGCACGCACTAAGAAGCTTACTTATTTTTAAATAAATATGTAAACTTACCCTTATGAAATCAAATTTTTTATTATATAAAAGTGATATTGAAAGAGAATGAATCAAATGTTTTAAAGGAAAATAGAAAAAAGAAATTCTGAAGCAAGGGGCATAATCGGTGTAGAAATGGACGGTCTCTGTTTGACATCCTCCCAGGGGCAATTCAGTCATTCACAAAGCAAATAGAGGCGTGTTTGGAAACACCAAACACCACAATATCTAAAAGAGGACCTTCCGTAACTCGGTCCTATATTTTTCTCTCATTTATATATAATAACCCAAGAGAGAAAATAGAGACAAAACCCGAACGCCGAAGACAACCCAAGTAACCAACCTCTTTGTTTTGGCAAAGGGATTTATAGACAGAGCGATAAACAGAGCGAGAGATAGAGAGAGAGGAGAGAGAGAGAGTGTGTGTTATTTGTAAAGCACATCACAGATTAAAATTTCTCCTAATAATTCATTTCAAAAAAAGACCGTTTAAAGAGATCCCTTGGGTTGTTCACTCCCGCCAAGGTCCATGGCTCAGCTTGAGTGCCTCGACCACATCCACAAGACCAAGACTCTGATCTGTGCCCTCAACCTCGTCTCCCGCAACCTCCCTCTCCCTCCCGACCTCTTCGACGTCGTTTCGTCCATCTATGACAGCGCCCAAGACGCCAATCTCGAACATGACAAGGGTTTGGTATGGTTTCTTCTAACTCCCTTTCTTTTCTCTGCGTTTTGGGTTTTGGTTTTGGGGTTTTCAGGGTGTTTTCGAGGTTTTGGGTCGGTTTTGGTTCTTGGGTTCTTGTCAATTTAGCTTCTTTGTTTGGTTTTGTGTGTGGAATTGGTGGTTTGGGCTCTTTTTAATTTTGGGATTTCAGTGAAGCTTGAAAATATGGAATTCTGTAGGAAAAAGTTTCTACCTTTATGCGTTAACCAATTGAATTTATTCACTGGAGGGGGTTGCTGCTGGTGTTTTATTGTCCTTTATTGTGTTGCTTCATTGCTTCAAGAAGTTTGACCTTGATGTATGTGATGCTGCAGGATGATCCTGATAGTTCCGCGGGAGAAGATTTGTTAGCTGACCTTGAAGATGCACTTTTGAATCAACGTCAAAATTGCATGTCAGGTGCAGGATTAATAGAATCGAGAGAAAAACGTTATCAAAGCCACATTCAGCATAGATTAACCGAACTTGAAGGTGACTGGTTTTATGAGAACTATACACTGAGTGTTTCACATTCTTTTGCTCATTATGCCATTCGTGTTAAACCTTATGAATAATTTTTATTCAGCATCTGATGACATTTGAATTTTTGGTAAAGCAGCGAGATAATTTAATCAATAGGCTCCTAATTGTTGTTGTGGAATAATATTCTATTAGCTAATCAGGCGGTAGGCAGTGGGATGCAGTTGGGTTTGTTACTATGTTCAAAACATAAGAAGGAAAAAAGAAGAGAAGAAAAAGCTAATTGTTTTTGA